ATGGTTGGCCTCTTGGGCCCGCCCCCAGGGTCTCCAAAACGACCCAAGAAGGCTCTAGAGAGCCCCAGGATTGTCCTTTGGGGCTATCGAGGGCGATCCTTGCCAATCTTTCACTTGGTCGTCAAAGTTAGAACCTTCTCATTCGGCCCCGTCGCAGTCCAACAGGGCAACCGATAGCACATTATCTTCCTCTTACTTCCCCCGTATTTGCAACTATGTATATTTTGACGCTTGGCATATCCCGACCAGCCCATCCAGAAACGTTGCCTTGATCATGGAAGCGTCGGAGAAAGCAATGGAATACAAAGCAATGGAACCGAAACTCAGGATCAGCCTGAGCAGACCCAGGAATCGACTAGAAACACCTTCGCGTAACTGTCGAGATTGGAGCCCCGTGGGAGTTTACTCGAGCCATCTTGGGGCCCATCTGTGGCAATTTGGCAAGCCGTTGGGGCTTTTCTTGTGGCCTTCCTGGTGGTATTGTGGAAGAGTCGGGGCCTTCTTGGGATCCTCTTGGGGGCATCCTAGAGGCAACCAATCAAATGAAAGGGAGTCGTGACTTAGGGTTGCCCCTCTGGTGCTCGACAAAAGCGCTTCTCGGGGCCCTCTTAGAACGCCGTGGTGGCCGCTTGGACCTCTTCTGGGACTCTCGTAAACGATCTGGGCCCACCTTGAGGCCTCAGAGGCCCATGAGAAGCGAAAAGGTGGGAAGCTAATAAACCCTGACAAGCATTTGCTCATCAAACGATTTTGGCATCTCGCGGGTCTCTTTTGGACCTCTCTGCGGCCATTCGGAGCCGTCTTGTAGTCGCGTGGGGGCCGCATGAAGGCATGTTACAGTCAACCCGCATAACAAGGATGGGCAACCTTCCCAGGGGCACCCTTGCATCCTTGCCTCCTCGGCCCATCTTTGGACACTTTCGTTGGCCGTGCCCCGGTCAGAAGGCTTCGAAGTGGGCGTCCAAGGCCATTGCATCCTTATATCGCGCATCCTTGCTATGCAGGTTGACTGCAGTGAGCCATGTTGGGTTGCCTTGAGCCCTCTTGGAGGCCATCCGAGGCCCTCTTGGAGCACTACTGGGCCACCATGGACGCTCCGACCGCTTGCGGCCTCCCCCGTCCAGACCCAGGGGAAGGGATCAAAAGTCCCCAACGGTATGCCACAAGCTGTCTCGTTCACTCCCACCAACCTTCCCACCATACCCCTCCTCCTCCTCCTCCTCCTCCTCCTCCTCCTCCTCCTCCTCCATTGGACCACCCTACGGGTGATGGTGAGAAGGAGGATGGAGGGATGGATGCAGCTTCCAGTTTGCGATTGGCGCCAGACGGGACAACCACGGGACAACCGCGGGACAACCGCGGGACAACCACGGGACAACCGTGGGACAACCGTGGGACAACCATTGGACAATCGCATGACGACCACGGGACAGCCCCGGGACAACCATTGGACAATCTCTGGACAGCCGCGGGACAACCGCGCACGCGCCCCCGAGGCCGCTGGACAACGCCGCGCACGCCCCGGCAGCGGGGGGGGAGGCTCCCGTCGCCGCCTGGCGTGCTCTGCGCGCGCCGCGCGGGTGGTGCACCTGGCGCGGCTAGAGCACGTAGCACCCAGGGGAAGAAGCAATGGCATAAACATACAAACTCGGAGGTCCGCGCGGATTTCTCGGATCGGCCTTGGGGCCCTCTTGGCGGCGCCTCGGGCGCCGCCCCGGGCGCGCTCCGCGCGCCAGGGAGGGATGGGTCACCAGCGCTCCTCGCCGTGCCACGGGAGCGCCAGCGCACGTGCCAGCACATTTCGGGCAGCGCGCCTTTCCCCTTGCCCTCCATCCCTGCCACGAACCCGCGCAAAGTGGCGGCGAAGTGGCCCAGCATTGCGCATAGCGTGCGCACGCGGCAAGCTGCAATAGATTTTGATACGGGTAGTGGACGCGTGCGCAGCTGACATACATGCCCACGCAATCGCCATCCTTGTCACTGCAAAGCGGGCGCGGGGAGCAAGCTCATGGTCCAGACTGTGCCGCCACGTACAGCCCGCATGTTTCCCAACCATCCTGTGGTGTTGGGTCCTCGCTTTGAAGAGACAGCGCCCCGCGTTGCTACTCCTCCTCCTCGTCCTCCTCCTCCTCCTCCTCCTCCTTTTCCTCCTCCTCTTCCCCCTCCTCCTCCTCCTCCTCCTCCTCCTCCTCCTCCTCCTCCTCCTCCTCCTCCTCCTCCTCCTCCTTCCATCCCCGTGCCCTATGCCGGCACACCCTTGACACGCTTCGTGGCCCCAAGGGAGCTCCGCCGAAGGCTCCAGCGGCAAGGGCCGCATGGCGGCCCCGCATCCGATCCCGCATGCCCCTCACACGCATCGTTTCCGACGAAAGGCCCCAGCGGCAGGGCCCGCATGGCGGCCCCGCACCCGATTCGGCACACCCCTGACACGCTTCGTGGCCCCACAGGGGGCTCCACTGGAGGACTTGCGGCAGGGTCCGCATGGCGGCCCCGCACCCGACTTCGGCATACCCTTGACACGCTTCGTGGCCCCACAGAGAATTCCGCGGAAGGCTTCAGCGGCAGGGTCCGCATGGCGGCCCCGCACCCGATTCGGCACACCCGTCACACACTTCGTGGCGCCATAGGGAGCTCCACAGACGGCCCTAGCGGCAGGGTCCGCATGGCGGCCCCCGCACCCGACTTCGGCTCTCCCCTGACACGCTTCGTGGCCCCATAGGGAGCTCCACCGAAGGCCCTGCTGCAGGGTCCGCATGGCAGCCCCGCACCCGATTTCGGCACACCCTTCAGACGTTTCGTGGACCTCTATAGGGAAGTCCACCGAAGGCCCCAGCGGCAGGGTCCGCATGGTGACCCCGCACCCGATTCGGCACGCACCTCTCGCACGCTTCGTGGTTCGATAGGAAGCTCCACCGAAGGCCCCAGCGGCAGGGTCCGCATGTCGGCCACGCACACATTTTGCCACACCCCTGACGCGCTTCGTGGCCCCGCAGGGAGCTCCACCGAAGGCCCAGCGGCAGGCCCCAGCGGCAGGCTCCGCAGAATGGCCCCGCGCCAATTTTGACACCCCTAACAAGCTTCGTGGCCCCACAGGGAGCTCCACTGGAGGCTTCAGCGGCAGGGTCCGCATGGCGGTCCCGCACCCGATTCTGCACAGCCCGCACGCTTCGTGGCGCCATGAGGAGCTCGACGAAAGGCCCCAGCGGCAGGGCCCGCATGGCGGCCACGCACCCGATCTCGGCACACCCGTCACACGCTTCGTGGCGCCAGAAAGAGCTCCACCGGTGGCCCTAGCGGCAGGGTCCACGCGGCGGCCCCGCGCTCGAGTCGGCACATCCCTGACACGTGTCGTGGCCTCGTCTGGAGCTCCACCGAAGGCCCCAGCGGCAGGGTCCACATGGCGGCCCCGCACCCGATCTCGGCACACCCCTCAACCGGTTTCGTTTTTGCGTTTTTTTCCATCGGGACTTGCCTTTCCTTCGTCCCACCTGCCTTGCTGCACTCGCGCCCGCATATGGTTGGGTCCTTCGCCCGAATATTTGTGTTGAAAGGGATGGTGTGTTGGGGCTCACTGTTCTTGGTTAGCGGTTGGTCGATTGAGGGTGTGTGTGTGTGAGTGTGAGTGTGAGTGTGAGTGTGAGGGTGAATGTGAATGTGAATGCGTGTGTGTGTGAGAGAGAGTGTGTGAGAGAGAGAGAGTGAGTACGTAAGTGTACAATTTTGTGTAAATGTGCGTATTTGTTTGAAATGTGTGTAAGTGTGTAAGGGTGTTAGTGTGCAAGTGTGCAAGTCTGTGTGTGCGTGCGTGCGTGCGTGCGTGTGTGTGTGTGTGTGTGTGCTTGTGCGTGTTTGTGTGTTTGTGTGTTTTGGCAAGGAGCAGAGCACTTCCCTTCCCGAAGAGGAAGAGGGGAGTTGGCAGAACGCATTCGCTAAACCATCGACGCCCAGAGGGCTGGAGGGATTGGGCTTTCTTGGCGACCTGTCTCTTGATCCGGCCTGGGGCCCTTTCTTGGTCAGTCTTGGAGTTCTCGTGCTGCCCCCCGAGTCCCCCTCGTTGCATGAATTGTTGAGCTTGGCGCCTTCTGTCCCGCTGCGCACCGACTGGGCGGCTGAGGGCTCGCTGGAGGCGAATTGTTTGCCCTGCGCTCGACCAACGCACAGGACGCTGCCTGGGTCGTCGTAGCTGGTGCCTAATCTTTCGCCCCCCTCGCAGCCCAACAGCGTCGAGGGCTCTTTCTCTTTCTCCACCTCCTCTCGGCGGCACCCCAACATGCTAATACATGTGTGCTGCGCCCCCCCCTGGGGCGACGCGCGCACCGAGAAATCTTATAGTATATGCGTCGTGGCGGGCGTGTTCTGGCCGTATCGCTCGGGAAACGATATACTACAAGATGGGTATACTATATTTTCGGGTTTGATGCGCGCCTCAAAGGAGGACATATAGTATCAGTATGTCCCTGTGCGCCCCATCTCCTCCCAGGCTTCACGGCAGTCCTGGCTCAAAGCAGTCGTTCTGTCCGCTTCTGGGTGCGGCCTCTCCCCCCGCCAGCGCAGCGCGCGGGGGAGAGGCCTCTCATGGCGCAGGCGCTGGCGGCCGTCCTGCGCCTGCCGCTGGGCATGCTGCACCAGGCAGTCCCGCCCGAGGTGGTGCTGAGCGTGGTGTGGATGCTCCCGCTCGGAGCAATATGGGGATGCGCCTTCTCGCTGCGGGTGCTCTTCGTGCCCAGCTGGACGACGTACGTGCCGGTGATCTCGCCCGCCTTCGGCTCGGGGTCAAGCTGGGCGAGCTCGCAGCAGGAAGTCGAAGAAGAAACAACCCCATAAATATAACCTTTTGGCGCTCAGCGCGGATTTCTTGGATCCGCGCTGGAGCCCCCTGGCAGCGCCTCCGGCGCCGCCTCTGGCGCGCTCCGCGCGCCAGGGAGGGGGTTCTAGTTCAGATCCAAGAAATCCGCGCGGACCTCCAAAAGTTGGTATGTAGCTGTTTGCTGTTCCTCTAGGAAGCCTACGCTGCCTGCGGGCACATCGTGTCCCTGGTTCTGACGATCGCCTGCGGCGTGCTGCAGCTTGACAAGTCCTTGCGGGCCTCCCGGCCGCAGCTGCATCGCCGCACGGGCTGGCTCTACATGGCATCTGGACTGGTGATGGTGGCTACGCTGCGCCAGCTGCGGGCGACCAGCGGTGGCTTCGCCAGGCCAGGCGACGGCGCCAGCGTCGCAACGATGCGTTCCATCGACGCGGTGTCTGTGGCTTGGCTGGCATCCGCAGGCGCCGCGCTCTTCTACGCTACCGTGCGGCGCGACTTTGCGACCTACCTCAAATGGACCGCCACAAGCGTGGCCCTGGCGATGGCGCCGCTGGCAGCCAGCTGCATGCTGATAGCATTCGTCCCCTGCGCCATGGCTGCGAGACTGGTCCTCGACGCCGCGGTGCACGACGTGCCCTTCTGGCGCTCGGCGTGGGGAGCAGCGCCGAACGCCTGGGGACCCCCTGCGGAGCCCGCGGTGCTGAGCCCTAAGGGCTACGGCGTGGCCGAGAACCTGCTCTTCCCGTGGGCGGCGTGGTTGAGCCTGCTGGTGGTCCTCTACCTGGTCCACATCGCCGCGTGGTCGCCGGAGCCGACAACCGCGGAGGGGCCGGAAGAGCGGGCGGGCGCCGAGGCGGCCGACGCCGAGGAGGCTCCTCTAGAGGCCGCGCCGGGCCCGTCGGCCCGCGCCGGCGCCAGAGGGACTGTCGCGCAGGCTTTCGGGAAGATAATGCCGTTCGGCGCTCGGGAGCAGAACGGCGTTGGCGTCCTCGACACCAGGATCGTCGACGTCGGGCTGGCCGACGCCCTCCGCCACCTGTGGAAGATGATCCCCGTCGCCTTTGTCGGGGCCTTCGGCCGCATAGAGCCCAGGGAGGTGCTGCTGAGGCTGTGGGATATTCTGTTGCGCGCAGCGCGCAGGTGTGCACCTCCCGCCGGGAAGGGCAGGAGCCGCACGCCCTGCGCGCTCGCCGCCGACGTCGCCTGCAGGGCCTGCTGGTCGGCGGCGGTGCTGGTCTGCTGCGCGGCGGCGCTGGTGATGAACACGGTCGGCGTGGCCGTGGCTGCGTGGCTGTTCACAGGCTGTGTAACCGCTGCTGGGAGCGGCGCGGCGTTTTCGGTGCAGCTGGCCAGAGGCAGACTTGCGCCCCTGCTGGGAGCCGGCAACGCCACGGCCCTGGCCTGACCCACCAGCACTTGGGTGAAATCTCCAATCTCCATCCCCCCCTCTTCATCCGTGCATCCTTCTCTATAGCTGACCAGGCCCGTGACACGGCACAGGCATCCCCTTGCTCCTGCTGTTGTTGTTGTTCCGACTGTACTTATTATCATCGTGATCATCCTCCTGTTCCCCCTCATCCTCCTCATTATGATCGTGCAGCCTCCGCTTCCGACATCCCGCAGATTGTTCACGTGAGCCGTATTTTGAGTGAGACCGATGTAGTACTAGCATCGGCAGTATATTGTATTGTCTCGATTGTGCATAATTTGCGCTTGCTGTGCTGCCTACAGAGTTTGATGTCTCGCTGGATGCTCGTCCTGCCAATCATCTGCCAGTTCTCGTTCGTTCACGTTCGTGGTCGAGGATCATTGGCTGCCTCTTGAGCGTCAACGCTCGTGCGGGAGAGAGGGGAGGAGGAGGAGGCTGACAAACCCAAGGCTCATCAACGATGTTCATACTCCATACACCCTCCCTCCAAGCTCTCTCTTCAAAGGCACCTACAACGGTTCATTTCCACTGAGGGAAGCGCCCCGTTAGGGGACAACGGTGTGAAAATCCTGAAGCGCGCCAGAACACCATTCCCAGGACTTCAACGCCACGGGTCAACCAGACTGCTGCATCTTGATGATCCTGAACTGTGCCAGAACACCATTCCTGGGACTTCAACACCGGGAATCGATGTAACTGTTGCACCCTGACAGTCCTGAATCGTTTCAAAACACATCATCTGGCTCATTGACCATGGGAATTAACGAAACCTTTGCCAGTGCTTGTAACTAGTGTGCGCGGCGCTAACGCGAGAGCCACATGTTGAAAAGGAACCGCTTTCAATCCGTGAAACCCTTGCAAACGTTTGAAACGAATGCGCGCGGCGCTAGCGGGAGAGCCCCATGTTGACAACCAGCCGCCCTCAATCCGTGAAGCTCTTGCAACATGGTTAACGCGAATGTGCGCGGTGCTAAGACGAGAGCCACATTTTGAAAACCTCACGCCCTCAATCCGTTAAGCTCTTGCAGATATCTGAAACGAATGTGCGCCGCGGCGCTAAGGCGAGAGCCACGTTTTGGCAGCGAGCCTCCCTCCATTTGTGAAACTGCTAGGTGTTAAGCTTCAGGCTCATACACTGTACGGAAGTAACAGGCGAAACGCAATGCCCGCCCTTCCGAGTGGCCTCGGGGTGCGACAGGGAGGAG